AGCGTCGTTTATTCCAAATATTCTTGAGGATGTAGTAGTAACGAACTTGAATTCCAAAAAAGTAAAATAAAATAAAAATAAAAAGGGCGGAGACCCTGAACAAACACGCCCTGCCAGCCATCCATCTATCTACACCGAGAATTAATGGACATGTACGGAGTACAGTGCATTTAATTAATAAGAAGTTGTCTATTTTCCTTCCCCTGTTCTCAAACAATCCTCACCATCTTTCATAACACTTCTTGACTCCATCTTCAGAGAGCACCAAAATTGGGAGGAAAATAAAACAAAAAGAAAAAAAAAAAAAAAAAAAAATGAATCAGTCACACAAGTAAAAAGGGCTCCAATGTCCCACACTACTAAAATCTAGTTCTTACATTCTGAGTCTAATTAGCCAAACTATGAGAAATTTTGAGTCCCAGTCACTGTGATCAAAATGATCTAGCTGCATGTATGTATGTGAAGATATCCAAAACCTTCTCAGAAAAAAAAAGAAGCATCAGGAAAAAAAAAAAAAAAAAAAAAAAAAACTTACTTATATTAGTAGGAGAAAGAAGCTAACTAATTACACAAAGACAGAAAAGTAACTTCTCTGAATTCTTATCAGTACTGTGCAGTACTGTCTGAGGGGAGTGATATTGTGATAATCATCTGTGAAGCTTCTTGGTGTGAACTGACATGAAATTAAACACCCCAATTCCATTCATAGAACTAACCATTAGTTACTGTAGCTCAATTCAATACAAAACTGCCTTTTTCTTGTCTTTCTTCACATTTTTCTTCTTTCCCCTTTAAATCCTCTCTTTCCCTGGTCTGATCTTCAACAGATGTGTTCCAGATACATCTGGTTAGTAAATACTTTATTGAAATCCTCTCGAAAATGAACGGATATATGATATATGTATCTATATATACGGTGACTTCTTGTCTGGCAGCCAAACCACAACTCCATTTGCTTTTCCAAAGCATGAGAAAACTGCCTGCGGCATACGCAGGGGGAATTATCCAGGGTTTACCCTGTAGCTGGGTTAAAAACCTTCAAATTTGCAGGAGCTACATAACCACATATCTATAAAATATGGGCGATGAATAACCAGAAACCTTGACGGGAATAAAGTGAATACCCTCGTCTGCAAACAACGAGCACTATCAAAGCATTGGTTCTGTTTCCTGCTTCTGACTCCTGGGAAGCGTAACTAGAGAGTAGCCGAACATAAGGGTAGGCTAGTGAGGTGAAGGCTGTCATAGTCTCAGACTGCATATGGCCTTAGAAAAAATATGAAGAACAACAACAACATCCTCAGCAGGGAAACAAAGGGAGAACTTCTTGAAGGATCCCTGTATCGCAGCGTATGTGAATAAACTCCCATCCATCCCACCACGTGGATTATGCATAGGACACATGGATGCAGCAGGTTTTCTTTGTCTGCTCTTCATCCTTCCATCCAATACATGGTGACATAGGAAATATAAAAAATCAATGAGCCGGGTCTGCTTACTGGTTTGTGTAACATCTCGACACCGAACCAATCCTCGAGGATTCCACGCTTTCGCAAATTGAGAAAATGGCAACGTGCATCCAGGTATATGATGTGATAACCGCGCTTGATCAATAAAGTATCACTGTACCCAGTGTCTTTTAGGAATGGGCTCCCCATGTTCCATTTTGAAGCCCTTCACAACACGCCCTCAGAGGACCAGGAGACTTTAAACTAGCCTCTCCTCCCAAGGCTAGGAGTTCGTAGAGTTGCTGAGGGATAGCTGACAATTTGGATAATATGCCGGGCGAATTAACGGAGGTATACAAGCTCAGATGCAACTACTTATCATACATGTACCTGCAAAGCATCCTCGTGATCAGTACATCATTTACACCCGGCACTTTTTTTGATTGCGCACGAAGAACTGCCTGCGCGGAGCAATTGTCCCTGACTCAAAAGTGCCGATCAGCAATCGAAGAGAGAAACTTCAACTATCCTACATCGATCGTACGCAAAGAAAGGCCCTTAGAAGTATACATTTCATCCTTTCTTCTTATTATTGAAAAAGGATCTCCATTGACGCATTTTCTAAGGTTGAAACGTAATCAAAAAACTACACATAAAAGGTAACTAGCTTTAATCCTCCGCATATTGATCCAAACTTGATTAACACAAGGCCCACCACGACTTGAAAGATCCAAATTCAATAACTGAGAAAATCTCACCATCTTTGTTGCCTGAACAGAGACAGAAACCCATACCGGCCGCACGATCTCTAGGTCCAAAGACCAGAATGCACATGATCCTTCACAGCAAACGCTGTAAGTTGCAGGTTCGTTTGGACAATTGTAATCGCGGATCAATCTGGTATCATTTTATCTTGGAGAAGTTCCAATGGCAAACGATTGTAGATGGCCCATGGTTTTCACGCAGTGCAGTATGTAAACTGCATGCATGTCGGCTTCCAGGCGTATATACCCCTATGAAAACTCAAGCAGCCGAAACACGCAAGTTGTAATTTTAAGTGCCTGTGTAGGGATATCCTTGGTCAAATGAGGATTTTTTTTTTTGGCAGATATTCCCATTCGACTATGCCTTGTTCGCCTTTTGACACACGTACGCGAAATGAAGTCTACACCGTGTTTATTAAAAAAAAAAAAAAAAAAAAAAAAAAAAAATCAAGCCCTGCTCTAGAAAACCATCAACTTGATGGCCAGAAAAGCTTTGACACGAGGGTGGGGAAAGACAATTTATTCTGCTTCGAATGACAGGGTAACCTACATCCCTTGTCCGACTTGGGCATATCCAAGAACTTCACCAATCTTTCCATGACCGCTAACATATATATATACAAGACATTCAAGCTTACTTTTTGTGGACTTCAGGGTTTAAAGTATAAAATTTGCATACAAAAACAGGATTGTTTAAGTTAGTTACCAGCTGATGAACAAAAATTCGTAAAGAAACGGAGCTAGGAAGGGAGGAAGTAAAAATCACAGAAAATAGAAATTAAAATAAAATTGATGCTGTTATATAGTGAAATGATCTCCAATTTCTAAATCGACCGCTGATACTCCAGGCCTCTAGGCCTGTCCTTTTTCTCGTATATATATGAACTAATGCTTTTGGAGTCGGTTCATAGCTGAGCCGTTTTGTTTTGGAGCGACGTCGGCCGAGCCGTGATTGAAGGATCTCCAGAATCTAGTATTGTTTGCCATAGAGGTATTTGCATAATCGGTGCCGTTCAACAGGGGATATCTGATTTTTGGCCCTCCCGGCGCGACGATGCCAGGGTCTAGTATCCAGCGAGCGCAATTAGTTGTGTAAATGCCTCCTTGTTTGAAACTTGTTTGCGTTTGATCGCATTTATCAACAGTTTGTCTGAAAGAGTAACCACACGTATCTCCAGGCCCCCCGCCGTCGAGTTTGAATGGCTCACAGCCATTGATTAGCTCCACAGAGATCTTATTCTCAACCCAGCACGCCCCTGGACCGAAACATCTTGCGCCATAATACTCTGTAAACTGGCCATCTATCTTTCGAATCGTTATACCTTTGTTGCCATTACAGAAGCCTTCGATCGCTCGAATCATCCCTGAGCGGTGAGAAGTGCTGCCTGAATCAAAACATTTTAACCCTGGAAGGGCAGTTTTCTTTGGTTTCACTGTAGTTGTAGTTGTTGGCGTTATTATCTCCGGCTCAAAGAACATCCGGGTAGCATCGCGGCTTTGCATTTGATACACAAGATATTGCGCTAGGGCCATATAATGCTCTGGAGTGTCTGGTGCGGTCATTGTCATGCCCGCAGCGGTGTTTATGGAAGGCTTTTTGACGGTAGTTGTAGTAGTGATAGTTGTGGGTTGGGCAGAGCATGCTGTGATCGTGCGACATCCGGTCTGTGTGGTTAAGAAATATTCAGATCTGTCTGGCCTGGTCTGAATTTTGGAAACGAGCTCTGTACATCGAGGAACAGTTTGGGCCTTATCACAACCGTCTTTTCCTGTCTTGCACTTGGGTCCAGTGCAGAATCCTGAGTGGCAACCCTCTCCTTCACATGTAAGCGGCCAGCACCGTGGACCCTTGCAGCTCCCATTATCACAATCGGGGCCATCACAACCAAATCCAATACATCCTAGACCAAAGCATCGACCTGTTTTGCTGTCGCAGTCTAACCCAAGACACCCACTTGGTTTACAGCCAGGGCCACTACAGCCGCCTATTTTTGGTATACATTTCTGCCCGCCACACCAGGTGATAACGCATCTAGGACCCCAGCAAATGCCGTCCAGGCAATCAAGGCCAGAGCAGCCGAAATTGATACATAATAAACCCGTGCATTTGCCATTCTTGCAGTCTGGACCCCTGCATTTTTGAGTGTTTTTAGGTTTCGCCGTCTCATTCTCGGAAAAGAAATCTTTTCCATCGCCGCAATTCTGCTCACAGGGGCCATCGCAAAATAGACCCTTACATTTCTTTCCACAATTTGAGGTGCAAAGTGGATCAGGGGGGCCTTTAGTAAAAGAAACAATGGGCAATGGCGTTTTGTTGCCATTCTTAGCTTTTGTGGTGTCGGGCTTTTTGTCATGGTGTTCAGTTTTTGTGGTATAAGGAAACGGCGGCGGAGTAACTGTCCGTGTCATCACAGGTGGCTTGATTATTCCAGCAGGTAGGTGGGATCTGAGTATTGAATCATCACTGATGGAGGTCACTACATGGCCTTTATCGTGTCCTTCGGTTGTTTGGTGCTGGTGGGTGTCGTCGGATTCATGTGTTGGCTGCGGTTTGCCAGCTGTTTGGGTATTGCCTCCCATGACCCCGATGAGGAAAGGATTATCAGATCCGGTTGTCGAATGCCATGTATTACCTGCTTTGTCGTTTGTCGTCCCGGGGTTGCCACTGTCCGGAGTTTGTTTCGGGTGATTGCTCTGCAACCAGTCTTGTGGAATGCTATCAGTAATCACAAACGGAGGAGGAAGGATACTGCTTATAAGCGAATATGATGCTTTTGAGGCATTGAGATCAGTAACCTTCCAGTTCCATAAATTGATCTCTGAAGTCGTAATAGGAGGGATTGTAAGCGTCGTCGTTTGGACTGTCCTTGCCAGACCTGTAGAAGCTGACATTGAACCTCCAGGAAGCGTAACCAACTGTGTAGTTGGCCAAACAACTTCTAAAGATGTTGTATAAGGAGGGAGGGAGATCGTAGTGGGAGTAGAAAAGGAGATAGGAGGCATAATAAAGGTGCAAGGGGGTACGCATGCGATGATTGGATCTTGTTTCTTGAAAATCTCTGGAGAAATATAGACTTCACCAGACCCACTATCTCTACCCTCCGGGTCAGCACCATCAAGTACAGTATCGTTCACGCTCAAGTCATTCGGATTTTTTAATGTGCCAGGGCCCCCAAGATCAATGGCCCAGGCAAATGTTCCCCCCAAGCATAGCTTGTTCCCAAAATCTGCCTTCTGCTTTAACGTTCTCCCGTCATCATATGAAACCCTGTAGACAATTCTAATTAATCCAGTGCCATTACTGAGAGCAGGATATGAAGAGCGAATAAAATAGCATAAAAAGAAACGAGGTCTGATTGTAAGGGAGGGGGGGAGCGCAAATGTGGGCTGGATACATACCATTGATCTTTATCCCATGAAATCCAATTTACTCCAGATGCTTTGTTGTAAATGACCTCCGGGGATTGCTCCTTCAGAACCCTATTGATCTCGTAGTTGGATAGCGTGCCGCTGTTCAGAGTACATAGCCCCGGCTGAGCCCCACCGGCCGTCTCATTGTCAACCTTTTTAAAAGGGCAGCCCGGAGTTGAACAGCTAGGATCCGCTAGTGTGAATGACTTGCCGTAAAATGCTAGGCCTAGAGAAACCTTTTCTGGGGGGACAGAATTTCTCCATAAAAGATCTAGAGCTGCTGATATTTCTACTAATTGTTAGGATTGTATCAACATTGCATTGTTGGGGAAGATCGTGTACCAGTCAAGTTTGTATGAGGGTTGACGACACTCTGCGTCCATTTGCTGTTGCCATCCCAGGTACCGTGAATATCATATGTCATAACATTAAACCAGTCGACATATTCGGACATTCCTTTAAGGTCAAATCCTCTTAAATACCCTATCTCCATCCGTTAGATGAGGTAGTTATTTTAACGAGCATCATACTTACAGTAGGAAGCTGGAAGTGCGACGGTTAGACCGTACTTGTCGGCTATAGCAGTCTTCAGCTCTTTCAGAAGTCGGACGTAGTTTTTAAAATCCTCTTTTGAGGCCCCTGTGCAAAACTTAATAACATATTTAGTAGATACATAGTAATGAGGAGTTCAGTTCCTTACCCCGGTCATCAGCCACTGGATACTCCCAGTCGATATCAACGCCATCGAAACCGTATTTTTTCATGAAGTCGATCACCGAGAAAATAAATGATTTTCGGGAGTCCTCGGATTTCGCCATATCAGAGAAGACCTTGCCGCCGGCATCCCATCCGCCTATTGAAATAAAACACTTCAAAGACGGTTTTTGCTTTTTCAAGTCTGTAAACACGCGGTAGAATTTCTCGTCATAGTGGTGCATTGAAGTCAGCGTATTGTCTTTCGGGTTGATCTGAGCAAACCCATAATTGAGGTGCTACACGCAGAGTAGTCAGTTTTGGATTTCACTGAAACTGGGGTATATGACAAAAAAAAATTGTTCTCACCGTCCAAGGCTTAGTATTGATTTTTGATGGATGGAGCACGTCACACGGACGATCGTAGACCCAACTCTCGAAATAGCCAATGTACCGCCCCTTCGTAGAGGTCCCGGAGCATGAACTGTACGGTTGATAAGTAACGTTATTTTATAACATGAATGAAGAAGGGTCATCTGGCTGTCATTGGCGATGCTTACGGTCTCTTTATTTCGCTGCACCCACTCTGACATCCTTCCCCGCAGAAATCTTCAGTAGTACCGCAGAAACTTTCACGTACACATTAGCGACGGTTTTCAATATCACTGGAGCCTACGAAATTGTTGACTATCTCACCCGAACCGTGAACAACACACATTGAGTGGACATTTTTCTCGTCCCTTTGGTGCGTATTCTGCAACAAATCACGAAGGTTAGTAAATCAGTTCAACCTTCAAAAACATGATATCAATGAATATCCAATATGAGCAAGAGTTTGAACTCCATATAAAGCAAAAATTCTTGTCAAAAGTTTGCTCACAGGGGAACTCAGCAACTTACTGCCACATTCCGACTTAGCATCACACGTCGAGATACACTTCTCTGGGGAACAAAACTCAGGTCCAAACCCACAAATGCCGTATTGGCTACAGCAACCCAGCTTGCATGGTCGAGATTTTGAGCAGGTGGCATCCGAAGCAGCCAAAGCAAAGAAGGCAGCTAGATTCGCTAAAATCAGTACGGTGATGCCATTCATGGTCTTCATGGTTTGTAGCACCGCTCGCCCACCGAAACAGCAGGATGTGTCACAATTGAGTAGTTTGAACTAACTCAGCGAATTTCGCACCAGCAGCAGTTCAACATTGCCGAAGGTAAATTGGAACCACCAACTATAATATATGTTTTGCATCCATGCTTGATTTGGGCTATCCGCCGGAAAATTGCGGCGCAAATCCAATGCATATGTAAATCATTAAACATATAAATAGTTGTTCATTGAGGAATGTGGACCTTGCTGAAGATGAGGCATAAATAGTACGCATTCGACGCTCCAGGATTTGAGATAAACCAGAGTTGAGAAATCGCCCCGAAAGGAAATCGGCGACAGCAAATTGGTTTGTATTATTAGGCCTGATATGCAGTGAGTGCATCGTTGCGGCGCAAGAACTTTCGATACGGATACAAGGATGCAGAGACGATTTTGATCCTTTTGAACATCCTTGGCGGCATGGCTTGGCACCTGCAGCGCGCCAAGCCAAGCTAGCCAGGGCCCTCTTTGTGTGCAGATCAACAGCTCCCTCTATCTCTCACACACATGGTTATAGATATATATATATATATATATATACATATGTATTATTATTATGATGACAATGATGATGATGATGATGATGATGATGATGATGATGATGATTTTAAACGCTGCAGTGTAATTATCAATCCTCCCACAATACAACATTCAGCATCCACTTCTTTGATAACAGAAGATGATCAATCCCATTTCGAATTCCAATTTGGTCCTGCGGGATGAATACAAATAGAGAGCGAGTTACGGACATGAATCTGAGGCTATAGATGCCATATTCATGCAGGAAATGACTTCAAATAGTAAGCCTATATAGTTATCAACAATTTCACTGCACTTCCATTTGATCTCTTATCTTTCGTTTATGTCCCCTTACTGCTGGTGTCGTGTTCGAGATATATCTTCATTTCTCCTGAGGTTCTACGTCCTGAAAACCTTTCCAATATGCTATCCCTGAAACGCATGCTTTTGGTCTTTGTTTTCATAACTCAAATAAACTTGTCCAACTCTTATGTCTTGAAGTTCAAAATGTGCCATGATTTATACAACGGCGCTGAACCTCGTTTCAATACCGCAAGCTTTCTCAAATGGCGAATTGGAAAGGTCCCGATGAACAAAATAGTATGTATGGAGTCATTTGGAAATGTTGTAACATAGCTAATATCCAGCGCAGGTGGCCTCTGTGCTAAAGAGAATCGGAGATCTGGGTGACCTTCTGGACTCAGGGTATGGCTATGAGGATATCATCCCAGGCGTTCAGCGGTCTACACAGTATACATATGAGGCACTATTTGGTACAGTTTATTTCGGGCCAGATGAGAAGTATCTTTTTAAGAATCTTGACGCACGTGTAAGATTTCAGCGTGTGCGAGGTACGGACGGAGTAACTGGAACAATATCCTCCCTTGGTTTTTTGTGGATAACTAACAATTTCCTAGGAAGACTTGAAAAGCTTCATAAAGTAATCATGTCAGACGAGCCACTATTCATCTGGTGTCAAGATGACTTTTTTACATCGACGTTCCCCTTCCCTGTTGACTGTGAGTGTGCCATATATTACCCAATATCTGCTAGCCCTATAAAAGCTATGTTATCCATTTTGTTTCTGATAGAGTTGCGGTCTTTGCTTGCCAGGGTCAACGCTACTGCCTAATACCTTTTGGGACGATCGGCAGCCTGGGGTTGGTGGGCAATCCTATATAGTTCTGAATCCTCCTACGAAATGCGCCGAGGACCCAATCGTTGGCAACAGAGTGTTTATGTCCATTGCGAGGCCGGAAAATGTAGAGATGACTGCGATAATCCTGTGTCCGCAGAACTACGATACAAGGAATGCAGCCGACGTGGACGAACAGCGTCTGAAGTCGTTGGCGAATTTTGAAAAAATCAAATTTGACAACCTTTATCCGATAGAACGAATAACGTATCGCAACTCCATTTTCATTTTCCTTACCCTGCTGTTACAGGCTCCAATAGGAGGGCAAGCACCGATGGGTACGCCCCTCCACCTTTCCTCTCAATTCTCAACAGAAGCTTTGTCTTTCAATGAACCGATACTTATCTGTTATTCTCTTCCAAACAACAGAACCCGTTACACTCCCGCCTGTTGCTGGCCGCCAACTCTACGGCTGGGAAGCTACTGCATTGCTTCCCCTGATCGACCTGGAGAAACCACTTAATAACCCAGGTATGTCTTTGCATTTGAGAAGTATGATTCTAGGTTACCGTTCTAAAACTGTCGCTGACTTCTTTTTTTTTCTTTACGTTTCCCCCCCAAAATGAACAGAAAGCTATGCCTATCTAATAATAGGTAATCTTCATCGGTCCCGGATCTCTCTTGTTCTTGGAAGGAATTTCAAATTAATTTATCATTTGTAGCTCTGTTCCTTTCCGCGAATGACTGGAGCACTGGCACGGCTGTGCCCATGCTGCCAGATGAATATGGAGTCACACACTTTTATCAGTCTGTAAATTGGGCATATGAGGCGCTGACTCGGCACGGTGATCCGCAACATCCGCCAGCCATGGATTGGACCGTCGATTGACGAAGCCATTGAAAAGCTTCCTTATAGACAGCACAGAGTACATCCGGGGACCTCTACCAGATATCTTCCGTTGTTGATTGCGGAAAGGAATATCCTTGTGTTCTTTAGTATCTAGCTTGAAGAGATGAGACCGAAAGTTCTCGAGGATGATCAGTGTTTTGAGTCATTTCAGAGACTATGATTCCCTTGCCTTCATTCTCTGCATTTCTTCTCCGTTCGGAAACTTACTAGTAGTTTTCTTCATTTTTTTCCTTATATATATCTTATTCTTGTCTTCCGAAGCTAACCCTTAACCTTTCCTCAGTGTATCAAGTATTGTTAAACAGTTTATCGATGTAATATGTATTAAAACGTACAGAAGTTTCGTTATATCCCCGATTTGATTCTGCCTCTACCTTCTCCCCTTTGCCTTTTTGTTAACTGCATTGCTTCCCCAATTCCCCAACATCCAAGCTTTCAGGTCCCGCGAGTATCACGACGAGTTTCTTTCTCCCCCCTTCTAGCTCTAGACAAACGAGAAATGTCAAATCGAGAAGCGATATGCGGGGAAGTTCAAGCAGGGGGCTGCCCATGGGGGAAACATGAACTACGGAAGTAGCTCATCGGCTCTCGAATTAAAAATAAACCCCTGGATCGTCTCAAAACTTTTTTTTTTTGGGTCAAGCTTCCTTTCATTTATTATTTTTCAAACTGGCAAGATCTGAGTTTGTGCAGATGACATGGATGCTGTTCACATGATGGCACAAGCACACAGCATCCGTTTGAATGCACAAGGCATCGCCGCCGCCGCCGCCGTTTCCCAGGTGGCCTAACATATTTATACTTCCCACGTTGTTGACCGGGTGGGATAAGGTTCGAGGAGTCATAGGAAACAGGGCAAGAGAAAAAACGAAAACGAAAACGAAAACTAAAACGAAAACGAACCCGTACTTTGGACCAGAGGTAATATAAAATTAGACTTCTACCATTAAAAGAATTTCCCCAATTACCATAACTAACTAGTCTTTTTTTGAAGTTCTTTGGAAGTCCATTACATAGTATATGCCCAACTCACATGGGGCACCAACTTCAAGAAAATCAACCACATAGCTAGCACTCACTAGTATGATAGCACTGATAGAACTAAGTGTGACCTACTCTCTTACTTGGGGCTCACTTCGACTTCCGGACTAGGAAGATAATAGCTGCATTGCATTAAATTGCATTACATATATTCAGATAGTTATAACTAGTTTATATCAAAAAGAACTAGCAGCCCCCGCCATTTTTCCGTATCTCAGACAGGGCGCGGGATGATGTTAAATGAAACCCATTTCCCTGGACAGTTCAATTGAAGTGTCAACATTGTTATTGCCATAACAATGTCTGAAGGCGAGCATCGGTCATTTATTTATTTATGTACTGGTGCAGGTGTAGGTTCAGGTGTGGATGATGCATATGTTGCTGTGGAGGCAGCTGATTGGTTAACTACAACAAGAAAATCAATCTATATATTTGGATAACACTCACCGTTACGCCTACAGTACTGCATAATATAACTAGTAGTAACTAACTTAAATCATTCAGGGCGAGGTTGACCAAATCATGAGCACCATGGAATGAAATGAAAATGAAAGGAAAAGAAATCGGAATGTGATATAATATATAATATAATATAATGTAGTTAACATATGAGTTCTGTGCCTTGTCATACCCTCTTGCTAAAATAATAGCCACCACCACTTAGATGAATGCAGGTACAGTGCTGCACTTCGATGGATGCATGGGGGCTAATTATAATTAACCCCCGCCCCTCCTTTTGCATGGAATACCTGCAAATCATGTATATACATACACAGTACTCCTTACGTACCAGTATATTCTGGTTCTGTTTCGCCGATGGAATATAACAAATGAATGCCACTGCCAACCCGCTATCTCTGTTCTTCGTAACATATCCTCCATCGCGATGATATTTCTATTTTCTCTCCCCCTCCCCCCCCCCCCCCCCTTTTCCCTCAGGCCCCGCCACGCTCTCTACTCCGCTTCCCTTGCTCATGATCACGTAGGTGTGTACGCTATACTTGGTGGGCCATAGCACAAAGATCGCAGGCGGAGCCATTGTATCACCCATCTACCTCGTGGTCATGAAAAGGACTCCAGGGCTAGGTAGGTAGGCTACATACATAAGCTGGACATCGCATGCATGTACGTATCTCTAAGCCTCGAAAGCCAGACA